ATGATCTTTTAATAGTTTGGTCTTTACCTGTTTGCATCTGAATGCCTTGTTCTGTTTTTAGGTAATGACCCTTTTTCCTTTTAATCTATACCTGGTGACCTTTGAATAAAGTAAATGCCTTGCCATGTTTTCCTTTGGTAATGATAATTTCTTATAAGATTTATTCTTTTTTTTTCCAGAAAAAATGGTTTAAGTAAAGCAACAAGCAAGGCGACAGGAAAAGAGACCAAGAAAAGGGGCAAACATCATTGGGTTGGAAGAAGCTTCCCCTCCTAGAAAAAGAAACACAAGGCAAACTGCATCCACTCCTACAACACCTCATGCTGCAGCAGGTGGTAGCACTGACCACGCACCAGAGTCTGATGAACGGTTCCGGTCCAACCTGTACCGAGAGTTTTTCTACAAGAACTTCAGTAATTGGTCAATTTGCGAGGGGCGGCATGTAGACTTTGAATCCCTCGGCAAAGCCCATGCTGGTTTTATACATCAGTGGTTTAAACTCCAAGGATGGGATAAGTTGCTAACAGAAAAACCTCCCGTATACCCTGACCTTGTTCGCCAATTCTACACTCACTTTGATCATGCTAACATAACGAAGGGAGTAATATACACTTGGGTCAAGGGAAAAGAGATAAATTTGGATGAAACTGTATTGGCCAGAATCTTGAAAATCCCGCGATCTAGGGTGCACGCCGAACTGCCTGGTAAGAGATGGAGTACTATTGAGGCATTTGATCAACAGAAATGTCTAGATCTTGTGCTAATGGAACAGGACGCTGGGAGACAAAAGAAACCAGAGATTAATGATCTGCCCCTGCCAACTCGTCTGCTGCATTTGATTCTTTTCTATACTTTCAATTGCCGCAATGGTAGACTTTCTTCCTTAACCTATCTTGACATGTTGGTCATGTACTTTATACTTGCTGGTGTGAAGATGAACATGCCAAGGATGATGATTGACTACATGGTTGCAACTCAAAAGGGAACAAAGAGAGGTTTATTCCTTCCTTATGGAATGTGGTTAACTAAAGTTTTTGAGCATTTTGGTGTGGATTTGTCTGATGAAGTAGTGCAACCTGGACCAAAAACACCATTCAACGAAAAGACAGTTGGTAATGCATTGGGTTACAGGTATGATGTCAACACAAAACAGTGGGTAAATAAAGAGGTTAAGCGTGCAAGAGTTCGACAGTGAATTGATGAAGAAAATGAGGATGATATCGGTGAGGAACGTGGGCATGGAAACCTTAAAGCTGTCATGTTTGAGAGCATTGTTGTACAAGTAATGCTTAAGCGCCTTAGGCCGGACATCTTTACTGATGACGTTATGGTTGAGGTCCGAGAGACAGCAAAGTCTAGGATGGACAATGAAGATGTTGATTCAGGTAATTTTAAATACTTTCTTTACCTTATTTAACTCATAACTGTCTCCATTTGTAATATTTGTGATCTATTTATAATCTGTGATCACTTATGTTGTTTTTGGTTATTACTTATTGTAGTTTTTTATCAGATCAGTAAAGGTAACAGGTGTTGTATTTGTTATCTGCTTTATAATTGGTATTCACCTATGATGTTTTTGGTTATTACCTATGATGTTCTTGTTATCTTTTTTTTTTAATTGGTATTCAGTTATTATATTTTTGGTTATTACCTATTATATTTTTATTAATTCTGTAAAACTAACAGGTGTTTTATTATTTATCTATTTTATAATTGGTATTCAACTGTTATGCTTTTGGTTATTACTTATTATAGTTTTTATTAATTCTCTTAAACTAACTACTGTTTATTTTTTTATATTTTTTATAATTGGTATTCATCAATTATATTTAGTTGGTATTACCTATTTTTTTTTTAATTTATTATTATTTGAGAAAAACTTAATGGTAATATATATGTTATCTGTTTTATATATTGTATTCAACTATCATGTTTTTGGTTATTACCTATTTCTGTTTTGTATAATTTCTTCAGAAAAACTAACTGGTGTTATATTTGTTATCTATTGTGAATATTAAGATGGTAGTGATGATGATTTGGATGCAAACTCTACGGACAAAAACAGTGGTGGTGGCGAAGATCCATCTGATGATGATGATGATTTTGGAAAAGAAGACTTTAATGACGATGACGATTAGGGATCCTGCTTCTTGTGTTAAAGACTTTGATTACTGTAAGCTTTCACGACATTGGTTATAATGAACTTTTGTTGTACTTTATATTCTAGATAGATTGCTAGTTTTAATATTTGGCCCTTTGCGGCAAAACTTTTATGGTGGCATGTCACCTATTAAGTCCTTCAAGGCAAAACATTAACTTTCTAGTTAAATTAAATTATGATAAGTTAACTTGGATTAGTCAAGACCATTTAAAGCTTTTTACTACTGCGTAATATATATATTCAATTGTTAAGTCGATTACTATATTTTATGTATTAATTTCTTAAACATAAAATAATCATATAAAAACAATGACACAAACAAATAATAATTATAACAACTTTATTAATAAGTGATTTATTCAATTATGTTTAGCATCAACTAAAAAATTCAAAAATAATTGAACATAAAAAACCCAACCCATGACATAAGTAACACTGGCAAAATCACTGTTGTGTAAGCAATATGTTTGTTCTTCTCCATAGTTGATTGACATAATTGGCCTTTCAAGTCACCAATTTGCTCCTCAAATTGTGATTTTTTAACCTTCAATTTGTCTAGCTTCGTAGTTAGAGATTGAACTTCTTTCTCGATTTCATCCAACCTCTTTGACATCATCTCACACTCCACGCATCCACCGACATCATCACACAACCATTTGAAAAAACCACAGTCAGCCTCCTGCAATTTGCAAGTATTTTAAAAATCCTAATTGGTGTTCCAAAAATAAATAATAACATATAAAAAACTAATTGGTAATTGGAACCCTAATAAAAAATAATGCCGTTAACTTATATTTATTGAAATTAGAGCTATTAAAAAGTGAGTATCGCCATTTTTTAATTTTGATATGATAAATATATGAAAGCAAGCTATGTTCCTGTGGTCACAAATTAAGCACAAGGATTTAAAAAATTTACCGGATATTTACCACAACCATGAAATTTTCTACCCTTGTTGTGGTTACGCTTGTTCACAGTTCGTATCTTAGAGGGAACACCACATCCACATTTCACCATGAATCCCCCAAAACTAGAAGATGAACCTCCAGAATTTAGTGAATCCCCCATTTTGTTTTTGTAATTTTTAAGATAGAGAAGGGTGAGAGTTGGACAAGGATATAAATTGAACTTTAGTAACTGACAAGCGAAAAATAAGGGCGGTAATTTAAAAAATTTTAAATTTAGTTTGAAAAATGCAATGCAGTATTAAATGAACATAAACCGATTAATTGACTAAGCTTTTACAAACACTTATATCCGATTTTACCATACTCATACTTATGTCATTACCTATATCAAAGGTACTTGTGCAAACTGTGAAACAAATTCGGTTGAAAAGAGTATGCGAGGATGATAAAGATGTGATGCAAAGAACCCTAACGCTGTTGTTTGTAAAGATTTTTTAAAATTTAAGAGATAAAAGTCATTTAACTTTTAAAGGTAATAAATTAGGAAAATATCCTATTTAGAATAACTGATTTCCAACATATAATCTATTCAAAATTTAAAAAGATAGAAATTTAGGAAAAGATCATAATTAGAATAAGTGATTTTCAATATTAAAATGCAATTTCTATACTTGAAATATATCGATTCCATAATTTTTGTTTATTGATTAGTTCGAATCATTGTCCAGGTTCATCGTATTATAAATTGCCATCGAAGTAAATTCTATTATAGTAATCGGCAATGTCCAATGTTACGTTTGGTCATTATCTTTTTGTAATTAATAAAATTCAGTTTAGGTTATGTCATATTTGTATTTGGGTCAATACCTTTATCACAAACAGTGATTATAATTCGATCTTCGATTTTTTGGATCAAAAAAAGTTGTGAAAAAAAAATGTGATACAGTTTCTTCTCAGATTTTCATGACGAACATATATTACCGAAAAACTTAAAATTTTTGATTTCTTATACCTTAAATCGCTATTTTCGAATCCGATGCTTGATTTTGTACAATTGAAATCTATGATTCAAAGATTAAGAATCCACACAGAGGATGATAGAAACCGATTATGTGTACCATAAAATTGCGCGATGGCTGTATAAATCAAGCCTATTTTTCTATCTCAATTGATGCGCGATTGAAATTAAGGTACATGGAACATTAAATCGTGGTTGATTTGATTAATTGATGAAATATTTGGATGAACTAGGAAGAACATTGATGAACATTGAAGAACGACGAAGAACAAATTTTCGATTATTAATTTTTTTTTTAATCTTAATTTTAGATTTTATTAAAATTAGATTTAGATAAAATAATTTCGAAATTAAATTAAGAATTTCAGAAATTCATTAATTGAAATTTGAAAGATAAGAAAATGAATTAAATAAGCAAAATACCTTAATTACCCTTAAATAAGGTTTGACCAAGCCAAAAAAATAAATCTAAAATCAACCAATCACATTTAAGTATAGTGATGGTCATTTTGAGAGTGACCATACTAGAATTTTTGGTTATTCTGGTGGGAGGTAGTCAATTACAACATTTTATACTTTATAATGTAGTTAATTACAATATTTTTTTAGGGTAGTTTTTCGCAAAATTCAAAGCTTAAAAGGTAATTTTTCACAAAATATCCATAAATTTAATCTAAAATAAGCTCGTAGATGGACTTTATGTTTAATTGCATTGTAAAAAATTAATATTTTTATTATAATAACTAAATTATAGACAAATTAATAATTTGATTTTAGAATTTAAGCATCAGTTGTCAATTAATATGATTTATTTGGCAAATTTTGGTAAATTTAATTGTAAATATTCATTTTTGATGGAACAATGATCATTTAGATGGAATTAATGTTCGATCATAGTGAATTAGGAGTTTATAAAATTTTATATAAGGCCACTATGTAACAACATATATAAGAACATTACCGAACTAACAACAAATTAAAGAACAAGGTGGCCTAGTGAATTAGGATCCTTCTTAATTAGCTGATCATAACATGCACAAATACAAAAATCAACATATAAACAACCAACTTTAGTTTCTCCAAATTGTAACATAAATTACTTTAGTACATCCAAATTTATGCTAGTAAAAAGAACTTAAAGGCTAACTTCTCTATCATAAACCCAACTTAAAGGAAGGGAAGGTGCTTGTTTTGCCCTGTCTTGAGCCTTCTCTTCTATAATTTTGATCCTTCGGGGTAAACCACATACAAATTCCTGAGCTTTTCGTCCTTCCGGCGAAAGCCCGGTGAGCTTCTCAACTTCCCAATAATTCACCAAGTGCTCCATAACATCAGCATAATCCCTGGCAGAGTAAACTCCAAGCCTAGCAGCAATAGCAGCAAAATGATCAAACAAGTTGGAATCGCGGCCATCATACATGAGATGGGCCGGCATAGAGATTTTCTTCCTCATCATATCAGCAAAAGCGAGCATTGTTGTATCAGGATCGATTTCAAACAGTTTTTGCACTATTTTGCTGTAAGCATTTTCGTGGCGTTTTTCATCTGCTGCAATAAGGCCACAGATTTGTGCTAGCTTCAGATCACCCTGTTGTTTGGCTAGTCTTGCTGCATTGCCGTGTGAAACGAATGTTGCCCTTTCTTGAAACGATGTGTATATGAATCCCAAATATGGATTGTTTTCACCTTTTGGGTCCTGCAATACAAAAACACATAAATGGCAGAGATATCAAGTAGAAGTAAGCTAAGCTCGCAAAAGCAAAGGATTTACCTGCCCACCCAATACAACTCTTAATGAAGTAAAAAACAAAAAATGAATAACACCGTATTTATGGGGCGAAGGGAGTAGTTACAATTGTGTTAAACAAAGGAAGCTAAGAAAAGATTACAATGATAAGTTAATAAAAATTAATGGTCAAAATTATACATCAGTAAATGAGATCAGTCAAAGTTTAAGTACATTCACATAACAGGGTAAATAAGGATAGCATTATACTAAAAAATATTAAAATGAAAAGCCGTTGAATATTGATAGTCAAAATTGTGCATTAGCAGACGTGTTCAGTCAAAGTTTATAAAGTGGATTCACATGACTGGGTAAATGAGGATAGCATTATAGGAAAAATGATGATCACTCTTACCATTCCTGAGCCAATCAAATACTGAATCGTCTTTTCGACGGCTCTCATGTCAACACGACCGGAGAGATACAAATACTTGTTAAGAAGATCACCATGTCTATTTTCTTCAGCAGTCCAAGCCCTAGTCCAAGTTGCCCATGAAGTCGGACTAGTCCCGGTTTCATCCCTCACTCCATCAAAAGTATTAAGCATAGTTTGGTAAGTAGGAAGTGCTTCTTCAGTAATCATATGTCCAACCAAAACAACAAAATAATCATCTGGAACCTCCTTTGCTCTCCCCTGCATCTCTTTGATTTGTTCGTAAAAGCCGTCTGAATTCGGATCAGGAAGAAAATCTTGTGGCTGCCAACATTTTTCAACAGGCTTCAGATACACCAAAACGTTCTCTGATGCCCAATTTTCCAAGGAATTAAAAATCTCGATTTTTTCGGGTGGCATAGAATGTGTTACTTGATCATGCATTGTTCTGCATTTGGTGCTGTAAGGCTTCTTTAGATTTTCAGCTCTTCTACAACAGGAAAAAGTAACAATCATAAAGTACAAATATAAGAGAACATTTAATGTTAAATTAACTTAATTACATACATTTATGCATGATCACATTGTTAGTTGTATGAATGAGTTTTCCTACTCTTTATTGTGACATGTATTTGTATGTTATTGGGTTCATATATGATTGAAATTAAGAGTTACTCCTTTACTATAAAATCGGCCCATTAATATTTAGGGGCCGAGGCCCGAGGAGGGCTATCTTTTATTTGTTTGGTTCTTACTTTTATATATTATTAAATAATGCATGATTTTTTTATTTTTATTTTTTTGAAAGAAAATAATGCATGATTTTGATTATTAATTAATTATTTTGGTTAACCATCTGCAAGGACTGCAACTAGATTTTTTTTTAAAAAAAAAAGAATTAATATTTGGAAAAATAGCAGTTGATGTGAGATCAAATATTTTAACAACATTATATCACTGAATAACATTTATGAATTGTATACGCTAGATAAGACGACTAAAGTGAATTTGTAAATAGCGCAAAAGTAAATATAGAATGAAATCATGTAATCGAGTAGAGATTGAGAAGACTATAAAAAATAATACGTAGTACAACTTTGTAAAATATTCGCCTTTTTTGAAATTTGTACTCTGTATATTAGAAGATAGAAAACTTACTTAGATGTGGAGTTGTTCACGAAAACCCTGGGAGCTTTAACACAGAAATTGCTCACTTGTGGGAGAGGGTGAATACTTAAAAGGGCCATCGTTGTTTGCTTCCCTTATCCAACTTAAATCTATTGCCAAAATGTTGCTTAAAGTTTCAACTTATTACTCTAAAATAAGATTACAACAAATCTTTTAATCCTTGTGATGCAAGAACTAATTAAATACTATATGAATTGTAGTTCTAATTATCAAATGACTCATAGAATATTTTTGAGGTTCGAAATTCATGTATATATTGAGTTTATTGCATACAACGGCTTAATTAATTTCATAAACTTTGCACATGTCAGTTCCAAGAAAATCAAAAACTTTGCACATGTAAGAGTTTCAAGGTGGTTTCGAAATTCTAATTTCTGTTCTTCTAAGCCTAGATGAAAGGTGTAAAGGGTAGAGTCATGTGTCCTTGTGTCACGATTCGACACATCATAGGTCGAAATTGGCCTAATATTTGGTTCCTCCTAATTTGGACCAATCAATGAAAACTACGATTTAATTCTAATTATTTTTCGAGTTGTGTCCAATTAATATACCTGATAAATATAATGAGTAAATAAGTAATTAATCTCTTGTAAAAATTGAAGGATATACGTGTAATTTAATTTATTATCTACTTAAGTTAACCTTATAAAACTCGAGTTAAATGGTGTTACTTCCTTTGGATGATCAAAGTAAACTTGATGTTTGGATGCCCTCTTGCTTGTTGCTTTTTCCTTGTGTAAACCCATCATATCCTCCATAACTATGGCAGAGCTCCAGACCTTCCCCACAAAACCCCACTTGTACAAAAAATCTAGCAATTACTCATAATCCACATTCTAAATATTCTTCAAAACCCATGAAATCTCGAGCTTGGTTTCTTCAATAAAGTCCATTGATTACTCCCCACAACGCAGTTTAACAATAGAGGACTTTCGTTACTTTGTGTTGCTAATAAAGTTCTACAACTTTAATACAAGCCTCCTAGAAGATTTTACACAAATTTGATTTCAAGGATGTGATGTACAAACTTCTAAAATAATCTACACAATGCTACTAGCTTAGCAATGTACAAAAGTGAAGTACAGAGTTCTAGGCACTTAGCATGGAGCTCTATAAATAGATATCACATCTCATTAGTAACCATTGTAAACCTTCTCAAGTAATTAAAGCAAAATTTCTAAGCATCTTTGCTCTATTTTTGCCTTCACTTTTCCACATTTAGGGTCTGTTTTCATAGACTGAACTCAGCTGAGCTGAATTGAACTGAACTGAATATTTTATAAGAGAAGGAAATTAGGAGCTGAACTAGTGAACTGAACTGAAAATAAACGTATGAGAACAGGCCCTTAGTCTTTCGTAACAACAGTTTATCATCGTTAAGTAACTCGAGTGCTTTGAGGTACTAGTTATATATCCAACGAGAGTTTAGCACTAGTAGGAAGAGTGTAAGCCAAGGCTTGGAGATATAATCTAGTTGACCTACATACTTTATACTTCATATGATTATTATTTATATAGATGTTACCTCCATTTCAATTGTATCAAATAATGGCTCATAAGAATTTTGTCCTTATTCTGCAACACTACATCAAATATGTGATTTATAAAATAAAAACATGTAAAATACTTTTAGATTCACGTTAATGCATTTTAAATTTTAAAAATCAATAATTAGAGATATCAAATCTTTCAGTATTACATAATCATTTGTTAAAAAAGAGTAATTCATTTTAAACAAATGAAGTATAATTTTTGACAAAACATAATTTTCTTAAGAATCTTGTGGCTTGGGTCAACCCTTAATTATTACACCGACCAACACATGGGTTGGTTTAGCGTGTGTGTCATGCGGCGCTTGATTTTTCAATATTTGGGTCCGATCTCGCCCAATAGTGGTGAATTGAGCCAAAATGACTATAACTCTATAAAGATATTGAATATGATGCTTCCAAAGGATTGGTTAGTAATATTTCACCTAAATGCACGTATTAATACCTACTCCTCCCTTCATATACTAGCATATACTAGTCTGTGATTTCTTGTAACTTTTACTCCGTAATATAAAAAAGTAATTTTATAATTATGGTAGAATGATGTTTGGTTTACTATATTTTGTGTTGTATATGTGCTATTTCGTATGTTATTAGATTATAAAAATAATATAAAAAAAATAAAAATATGTTAGATTATAAAAATGTAAATTTAGTTTGTAGTAGAAAAATCATTTTGATGCATCTTTATTTTTATTTTAGTAAATGTTCAATTATACTACCTACGATCAAAATTACTCGCAATTTTGGAATATTTTATATGTCACAAATAATACCCCAAAGTTACGAGTAATTTGGACCGGAGGTAGTATTAGTTTATATATGGTCAATCACATATCAATAGACAATTGGTTGAATTTTATAAAAGGCCATATTTTTGTCAATTTTTTCCGAATATTTTCTATCGGTCATCTAATAAGCTAAGGAAGTTTATTAGAGTTTGTGATTTCTTAATAATAATAATTTTAATTTTCATAATAATAATTTTAAATGAAATTAATTTTCATAATAATAATTGAATTGTTATAATATAAAAAAACTCCAAAATTATAACTTAATTCAATTAAAACTATTATTCGGTGAATTTTGGATAATATATGTAATGGTTCATTTTAGATGTTTGCATTGTAAAGGATTAGTAAATCCATAAAATGTTTTTTTAAATGAAAACTCTAAGGTGATCAAAGAAAATTTGATCACCATAAGCCATATGACATGGCTTAATATATGCCACACATTAAAAAATAAAAATAAAAGGGTGTCCTCCCCATTTTTTTTAAAAAAATCATTTAAATCATTTTAGAAAATTTGTAAATTAATTTTTATAATTTTGAAAAATCAAAAAAATAATATTTCTGAAAATCAGAAAATAAATTGATTAAAAATTGTTACATATTAGTTGATATGTCCAATTTATATAGAGTTTTACCCTGTCCCATGGTCATAATTAGTAGTGTTTTTGGCTCTTTAGGGCCACTTTTATTACTAATTTGTGTTTTCTAGTGTTTTCGTAGTTTTAGTTGAGTTTTACAGGAAATTGCACTTTTGGAGTATTTTCCCGGGTTTTCATGGATCAACTGCGGAAGCTGGAAGGACATGACTATTCTTGAAGCCCAGGATCGGTGAGAGCCGGTGATTAAGGGCTCGGTATGTGATACCGGGGCTATTGGATCAAGTAATCAAGACCCGATGAGGAAATCCGGATTGGGCCGAGGAATCGAGCCCAATCGAAATCCAAGTCTCGAAGAAGAAGCCGGGCCCGATCGGGCAAGCATACGCCCGATCGGGCGGGCGCGCGCAAAGCAACATCAAGGAAGGAGCCGCGCCCGATTGGGTGAGCGTAGGCTCGATCGGGCGCAGCATACCAGCAAGGGGCATAGTAAAAAGGCGGGCCCGATCAGGCGGCCCTTCGCCCGATTGGGCGCGTGTTTTTCTAATTAGCTGATTAGTTTTGTTTTAGTTTTTGTTTTAGGAGTGTTTAAGTACGAATTATGTACGTAATTCTTGTTGACCTTCTCTTTTAGATTTTCTCTCTCTACTTAGGATATTTTCTCTCTCTTAAATTCTCTCTCAACTTTGTTCTTATTTACATTCATTAATCCAGATTTCTTTTGGTAACAATTTCTTCTCTTTTAATTTCATTTATTTTATTTACTTCTTTGATTATGTCTCGCTTTATTTATTTGATTAGTTTAGATATGATGATGCTTGAGTAGTTTTATTTCTAGGGTTTATGGGGATCTAATAAATATTATGAAGGTGTAAATTTGTGATTGTTGATTATTAATGCTTGGTTAATTTCCTATTGATTGATTTAATGCTATGCAATTAGGTTTGGCCAGATTTAATTGTATGAGTTTAGCAATATTAATTCGAGATTCGACAGATGAGAATTGATGTTTAGGCTTAGTTTCAATAGGCGAACTAATTTATAAATGGTTAAGTCGAGATTCGACAGATGAGATTTAATATCGGTAAATTAACTCTGTGATTATAATACGTAGCGAAAGCCCTTTATAATCTAATTGATCAATGCTTGATGATTGTTTATTATGATTTGCCCTGGATTATTGTTTATTAGTGAACCTATGCCCTAGGTCTTTTAATGTTTAATTTCTCCCTACTTTATTTCCTCCGATCTTATTCTTCGTAGTATAGTCTTTAATTACAACAATATTGGTTACCTTGATAAATTAGATTATAATAATTAATTAGGAGTAGAAAGACTTGTTTTCCTGTGGATTCGACCCTACTTCCCTATCTTCATTAGTTAGAGGACTTAGGTAATACTTTTGATTAGGGGATACGACTTTACCCTATCATTAGTTAAGTAAATTAATGTGAGTAATACTAATTATTCGCTCTCTTAGGATTTGCTTAACACCATTTCTCTATCCACTGAATCTGTCTTCACGGTCACTGGAATCTTATACCGAGCTACCGATTATTTCCCGGAAGCTGCCGTGCTGAACATCATCATAGCCTTCATAAATGGAGAACATGGAGTACGTACCCATGGAATCACCGACGGATTTCTAGAATCTCTCTTTTTAGGGTTTTTTTTACCCCTCTCTCTCTCTCCTGTCGACCACCGGGGTCCGTTATTCGGAAACGGCAGACATAACCGTAGTATTATTGCAGAACATCACCATAGCCTTTGTAAACTTAGTGATTAGAGTTCGTATTCATGGAGTCACCGACGACCTTCCGGAATCTCCTCTTAACCAGGGGGATTCTCTCTCTTTTAAAAATCTCTTTTCATGGATTCATCAACAGAGTTTGTCGTGATAATGGAGTCACTTCATTTGTAATTATTGAACTTCAGGCAAGTTCAAACTTCAGAGATTGTCGTGATGATGGTTGAATAAGTTGAAGATGATGATGAACAGTAACTGTTGTTATTAGTGATTGCCACATAAACACTTGTACATCACCAACGACCCCGTCATTGATTCTCTCTCCGCCGAGTATAGAAAATTGGTCTATGTAGTGATAGGGGATGGGTGAGGGGGAACATATAAACTATGTGGATATATCCAATAGCGTACAGGGCTTTTTCCAATAAACAATATGTAGGTGTTATCCATAAACACAAGTGGTAGTTACAAGCATATATTAGTGGTGGTGGTCATTCAAATGAGAAGACATTAGTAACTTATATTTTATTACCGTAACAAAAATGAGGTAATAAGATCAATAAAAATGACACATCTGTTTCGGATAAACTTGAACTTTATATTACATATTGCTATTAACGTATAGAACATATACACATATGTGTATAGGTGAATGCACTACATATATACTAGCTATATAATAAAAGCAAAACCAAAAATGATACATGTCATTTCCTTGTTCAAAATTTTCCCGCCCATTTTACTTTCCATTTTTACGCAAATTCTATAAGGATTTTTTTTTTTTTTATAATAATCCAAAATTTATTTCTTCCGCTTAAAACTCTTAACAATAATAATTCTCCATATATACCCAACTAATATATTTTTACATATATGTAGTATTTTATATTAGTTTTTTTTTATATAAAAAAAAATGAGCGTATATTACTATTAACTAACTTATATGTAGTATATATACTATGAACGTATTTTACAATACTTCTCTACATTATCTTAGTTTTTGATAATACTATTAACTTTTTTTTTCTTCCAATTTTGTCACTTTTTTTATAATGTTTAACTCAACTAAAAACAAAATTACGTTAAAACACACACACATATAATAATGCAGCACGTGTGGGTACTATACTACTATCCTTAGAATTAAATTTTTTTATAATAAAACCTCACAAACCCTTATTTTAAATCTTAAAAAATTAATCAATTCTAAGTGTCACGTACTAATCTTGACATTGGCATAGCTAGGTAAAAAATTAAAGTTAAATTTAATTTTGAATTAATATTACGAATATAAATTTTTTAATAGAATTCAATACAATAACTCTTTATAAAATTTAATAACAACCACTAAACTAGTGAACATATAAAATTAAAATAAAATAAACATCAATATCATTCAATTAATACACATTATTCCAAAATTAAAACCAATTTTTAATGTTCAAGTTCAGCGACAATTATCAATTGATTGATGATAATTTATGGAAGAAATGACACCTTTTTCTTTGTCCTTTTTAATTAGTTAATTAATTGCTATTAAATTCAATTAGAAATACTACTCCATGTAACATTGATTGTATAAATTGATTGATTTTTCCTCTTGATAATTCCTACCTTATAAAAAGTGCTCCATCCGTCCCAATATATAGTTTATGGTTGTGTTTTTTCACAATATTTAAGAAATGGGAGGAGAAAGTAGATGAAGTACATTAAAAGTGGAAAAAAAAAGACAAAAATACAAAGCAAGTGGATAATTTATGTAAAAATGAAAATTAAAAAGTATAATTTTAGACAAAAGTTAGAGAGAAAAAGTGGAAAAAAGTACAAAACAAGTCAATAATTTATGGATAAATTAGAAAGTTCAATTAAATAAATAGAGACTAATTAAAGTTAAAAAAAAATGACGGTATAGTGGTCTTTACACACTATCCAAAATGGAAACAGAAACAATAATGTGGGTTAATGTGGGTCTCTAAAATAGGAAAACCAATTTAATTAATAAATTTATCAGTTTTAATTGTTGAAGTTCAGTGACAATTATCAATTGATAATTTATGAAAAAAAAAACGTTACTCCATAACTGTTAAACTTTTTTTTTTGGTGTTTAGAGAGCCACAAGGGCGGGGTGAGAACCAATCCCAAGATCTATTGGAACCAGGAGGGAAGCTCTAACCACTTGAGCTACCCCTCACTCTCAAGTATTAAACTTTTGATTGCACAGTAGACATAAATTCAATAATTTAATGTAATTTATTTATTTTTGGATGTAATTCAAGTAATTTATTATTTAATATTTAAAAGGTTTTTTTTTTTTCCTCGACGGGAAATAAGGAGGCAAATATTAACAACTCAAAAAATCAGAAACAATACAAGAGTGAATTTCAGGTGGGATTTCCTCAATCCATACCCTTAATTCAACAAAGTTCTTACTGAACTTGGCTAAATTATGAGTAGCCATATTACCTCTCCTACCTATATGAGGAAAAAAAAAAAGAGAACAAGTCATAGCAAATTCCAGAATATCCTTCACTATAAGGCCAAACTTATTACTCTCCATACGTTGTTGTTTGAGGTGATTGCACAGCTTCAAACTATCGGTTTCGAGCTCAATCTACAGCGGTCGTTTGAAATATGACTACCTTAATATTTTAATGATAAATTATATGAGCGATCCATTTTTTCACACTATAAATTGGGTACAATTAGTATTCTAATTTCTACAATACAAATATAATTTTTCAAAATTTTAATCCAACATAAAATAAATATTTTTCGAGAAACTACAAAATAAGAGTAAAAATTACATAAATAAAACTAAAAATTTGATAAATTGAAAAAATGTTGATAATAATATTTTATAGTAAAAATAGAGTAATTTAATTAATTACTTGAATAAAAATACGTTAATTATGAATTATATAATTATTAAAATATTATGATAGTCATATTTCAAATGACCACTATAGAATTTTCAGCATCAATGGCAATGCAGATTGTGTTTCTGCTGGCTGCTAAAGTAAATCTTTGATGTTTATCCTTTTTCTTTGCAGCGCGTCTTGCATGCGGCCGGTCACACCATGTAACCGGTTGTAAATAAACAAAGTAATTCAGATCACACTGATCGAACAACCCCTATAATACAATAGCATTGACGAATTAACTCCTGTAATTTTGACCGAGTGACCCATATAGCAATGTGTGGTTCCTGCATGCAGATGCACGATCCGCATGGTGCATCCCTTCCAAAAAAAAAGCGGAAAGAACATTGTATAGAAATGTAAAGAATATTTTGTTAAAATGAAAAGAACATGTTGTAAAATTGTAAAGGCCATTGCTGTATAGAAATGTAAAGAACATTCAGTTAAAGTGGAAAGAACATGTTGTAAAATGTTAAATAATTTTCTAGCTTTTATCTTCATGTTCTTTTGTTGTTAGTATAATGTACTTTTATTAGTGACATAATGTTAATTGTTTATTTTGAAATGTTCTTTGAATTTTGTCTTTAGATTATGGTGGTTGAATAAAAATAATGTTCATTACATTAAATTATCACTATAGGTGATCAAAAATTCGGGTCGGGCCGGGTCTTATTAACATAATGTTAATGTACTATCTTTGTGCCATTGTGCATACATAGTTGAATTTGTTGCTCCTATATTCACATCATGTTGAATGATTGGTATGTCAAGCTTATGCATCCGAATAAAATTATGTAGTGTGCAAGTGGTTACAATGATTGACATTTGACTCTTTTGTGACGCTTGTGGCATGTATGTAAAATCTTCCACGTGTTTTTCAACTGTCCTAACAAACATTCCACCTTCATTCTTAACGATGAATGTAGCTTATTAAAATGTTCTTTTAATCCTCTAGGTGGCCTGGTATTGTTCTAAAATCAATCATACTATGTACTCTTAGTCTCTTACTCCCCCAATGTATGGCGTCATAAATCCAAGAGACCAAGAGTAATTGATATGTCGAGTCCGCCAAATAATATTTTCCTGAAATATATAGATTTTAGAATATTTTATACAAAATAAATTAAAATATATATTTTTTATACGTATTTGAAGAATTAAAGTCTACCCTGAGGTGGATGGGGAAAATTAAAATTTGAATCTCCCAATAAACAGTCTTTCCACACCGTGATATCATGCACACTTCTTTCCCAACCGACATTAATAAATGTGTAAATTCTGTCAAATGAACAGCAAGCCAAGACAATCAAAAAAATTTTCTATGTCGATCACGAAATGACACACTATTAGCATCACTTACAATGACATCAATAAGAGTTTCATCCAAAGCTCCAATATCATCCTGACAAATAATGACATTTATAATTGGTTTTATAATAAACATCTACACTTTCGACATTGAAATGTAAACAAGCAAATGTAAATAATGAAGTTATAATTATTAGAAATTAACAATTAATAATATTATTAACTATTAATTCTCAATATTTTGAATTATTAATTACTATTATTATGAATAATAAATATTAATAATTATTAACATTCATAATTATTATAATTATTTTTAATATTAATAATTATTATAATTATTTAAAATAATAAATTATTATCATCAATATAATATTAATTATTATTATTGAATATTAATTATTATTTGAAAATAGAGCAGAGCAGATTTCTTTTGAGTAGAGTTGAGCAGATTTGAATTGATCTGAGCAGAGCGGAGCAAAGCAATAATAAAGAACAGGGCCTTAGCTTGTATAACCGGTCACCAATAAATCAAGTGGGACCACTACAAGCAAATTCGACTATAGTGGAGTATTATTTAACATAATTCAAAGTTGGTATTATTCTGGTCAATGTTTTCTTTTCTGATCTTATTTTCTTATTATAACTTATTTATCGTGAAGTAAATTAAGGTGAATATAACATAACTAACCCTAAGAGTTAAAGTTGTGTGTTGACATACATGCAGTAAAAATTTAACAATTAAAAAAACCGAAGAATATGTTTTTTTTTTCTTAAAAAAAAACTTTAAAAATTATGGAGACCTAATATGTGTGTGTGTGTTTTTTTTTTTTTTTTCACAAATTGAAGTTGACCCCACTAAAATAAATAATTGATGAGATGGTTACTTGGTTTGTTGCTAATGGTTGGGCTTGGGCACAATATAAAGGTGTAGCATATATAAATTCATGGATTATCACTGGTACACTTTTAATATTTGCTTGTTTGTTCTTTTTTTTTAAAAAAAAAAAATCAAAATCAAAATCAAAACAAGCATAAATTAGAAAAGCAAACAAAGACGAGGCAACGCCACTCCTCTAATATCTTTCAGTTTTTTAGAGTTCCGTCGTTACACCCAATTCCAAATTAGTTCTCACTGCCAGCCTGCCAGGTATATATATGTATTCTTCACTACTTACATTATATAGAATTATATAATCTAATTAATATTCCTAATAAACTTTTAGTTTAAATTGTTCATTTGCTAGCTTTTACATATGATTAAATTCCTAAAAAAAAAAAAAAAAAAAAAAAAAAAAAAAAAAAAAAAAAAAACCTCGTGCTACTAAAAATATTTCTTCATATTAGTATATTATAATTTGCTTTTTCATCCTCATTAGTCATTACTAACCAATTAGCTTTTTCCGTTCTTTTTTACTTGACCTGCTTTGATTTTGACACTATTCATTAACCTTTTTGGCTTTTGTGGTCTTCTGTAAATTATATGTATGGAATAACATATTTTCATCTAGGAATCATATTATATAACTTTTTAAAATTTTATTTACTTCTTAAGAATTATAGATTATTGATGGTTAAAGTTTTGCATTGAAAAAAAAAACGTATAAAATGAAACAAACTTGGGTAAAAAAAGAACAAGTGCAGTAGTTGATATATGATAGATGTTTCATACGAGTAAATATTCAAAAAAGATAATTAAGATCGATTAATATGATAAAACATATTCTTTTTCACATATGAATTACCTTCAAATTACTATCATGTACATAAGTAGGGATGTCAATGTGGCGGGTCGGGGCGGATGTTGGCTTCCTCATCCCCATCCCCATCCTCATCCCCATCTTCGCGATGGATCTAATATTCACCTTCATCCCTGCACCTGCGGGTACAATTCCAAAACCATCCCCACCCCTATTTGGATCTTCACCTCCATCTAATTCTCACCCAAGACCGTACCCACCTAATCTTCACTACACATATACAAAATCCTACATAATTAATATGAGGAAATACAAGTTGATATCAGATATTAACAAAACTTGTTAATATCAAGACTAATTTTGTAAATTTAGCTACCACACCAAGGGTAATTTTGTAATTTTAGCAACCACACCCCCTTTCTCTCTCCTCTATCACCACCGTGCAACCTCTACTACCACCTACAACACCACCTTTACCTTCACTAGCCGACCACCGCTTGTCTTTTACCTTCACCAATCGACCCCAGCCGACTACCACACGGCCTTTACATTCACCAATCGACCCCAGCCAACCACCACACGGCCTTTACCTTCACCAATCGACCCCAGTTGACCATCACACGTCTTCACCAGTCGACCATCGCACACTCTCCAGCACCACAAGTCGACCGAGCACCAACATTCGACCGCCGCGACACCACCAGTACGAGCAAATCCCTTTTCCTAAAGGGTTTGTATGGCCCCAATTTTCATAAATTGCTACTAGGGTGTTGTTTTTTAGGTCGACCGGCCGCTTTAGATCCGCATATGTCGTCGACCTTGGGTATGGGAATGGAGGAGAGAGAAGGAAATAATGGCCATGGGAATGGAGGAGAGAGAAAGAAAAGATGGTCATGTGAGGGGAGGAGAGAGAAAAATTGGTGATATCAACATATATTTGTTGATATCAGTTATTAACTGGGTCTGGATCATAGCATTACAATTTTTTTATTTTTCTTTTTTTTTAAAAAAAAAAAAACAACGTCAATATTACATACCCTTTTTTTTTAATATAAGTGTATTACAAAGTATTATATTTACTATTTTACATATTTTTTAATAAAATAGTATAAAAGTATATAATTTTGCTTTTAAAATTATACAAATGTATAACTTTTGGTCCACATTTCGGATTGGGAACGGTGTCAGTGAGTTCTATATCTATGTAGCCATAAAAGACTCGGCCCAAGAAATGCCCAAAACTACCATGCTTTCCGGATCATTTGTTAAGAACCAATCGGTGATTTCTTTCTTCCTAAATTGGGAAAGAACAAGTCTTTCTTCATTTCTCGAGAGAGCGATGAAGGTACAAATGATTGTTCGAGAATGGCTATTCTTCACAATTATGGTATAGGGTGGGGATGGGGTGGATACGAAGTGGGGCGGTTGGGGGGGGGGGGACAATCTAAAATCCACCCTGCCCCATCACCCATGGCGGGTATGGTTTTCTTTCCCATCCCCACCCCACCACCCACCAAACCGAGACGGGCGGGGATGGAACAGGTCTCATACATGACTCGCCCCACTAACATCCCTTATGCATAAAACTATCTATTGCAATACGTAACTGCGTATAAGGTAAGCTTTATGTAAAATCTCTAATCGTTGCAAATAATATAAACGAATGTAGTCTTAAAAACCACAAGGAATATAGGGATGAAGAGTTTCGGACAATCAATCTCTTAGAAGAAACATTGTCGCTTTATTACCTTCTAGGCTAATTATAAAAAATGATCTAATATTGCACACAAATCAATATTATACTACAAAAGCTTCGAATTCACATGCAAACTATTAATGTCTTTAAAAATAGGAAAAATTGGCCGCAACAACACCAACTATGACAAAGGTGCGTATAGCAACACAATCTTTCAAGAGTGCACTCAACATCACAAACTATGCACTTGGGTGCACATAACAACATAAATGACATTGGTAAAATTTAGCTTTCTTCTGAAAGTGAAATCTTAAATATTTTTATTTTTGTTTAAAAATATTTTTGATTAATTTCATTCTACTTAATTTTCCATTTTCCAACTCATGTAATTAAGTAACCATTAAATTGAATTATTTTAAAAAGATTTCGCCATTATTTTCTATCATTTGTTTCTTCAATTACCTTTTTTTACATCTCATGTGATGATTGACTTAGTTTCCTCTTCAATTATAATTTTCCCCTTTAAATTATTCTCTCTTAAGCTCCACAATTAAGTGTTGTACATCAAAAACAAGAAAATCAATTTGACATATCCTGAAATCCAATTCAAAAATTATTTTTAAATTAAGTATTTAAAATCATTTGAGGGGTTTGGTATAATTAAGAAAGTTATCTATGAATCCTAAAATCTTGTAGAATAAAGGTATTAATTTTTTTTTATTTATCAATTTAATATTTAACTAAGTGGAAAGGGAAAGGAAACCAAGTCAATCATGTGAGATCGATATTAAGAAAAAGTAATTGGAGAAGCGAATAAAGGAAAATAATAGCACAATTTTTTTTTTGAAGGAATCCGCTTAAAATAATGGTGGAGGTTAAGAAATGCTTAAATGAAAAAATTAATAGAAGGTACGGCTAATTTAGTCACATATGATGGAAAATCATATAAGTTTAATATATAAAAAATTATAAAAAATAATAAAAATTCCACTTTTTTCCATTGAACCTTAGTTCATTAGGGTCATTTATCAATTACATTATACTAAAGGCGAATCTGATATGACACTTGTCAGGTTTTGATTAAAAAAATTCCCGCCACTTTTACTTTCCTTTTTTTAACAAATATTTATGAACATTATTTTATAATATCCTGTAATATTTAACTTTCAATTTGACAACTATATATAGTATATTCTATATGCATTCAATGAAAATATTTTGACATATAATATTTTATAATAGGTATTTTATGGAAAAAAAAAATCAAGTATTTGTTTCAATTAAAAATATTGATTGTTATTTTTAATTAATTATTAATTATTGTTAAATTAACATTATAATTTATAAATATGCTAAGTAAAAACCGTGCATTGCACGGGACTTAAACTAGTGCTAATATATATGTGCACCCAATTACATAGTTTGTGTTGTAGACCACACCCTTAAAAGGTTGTGTTGCTACATGCACCTTTATCATATATAGTTGGTGTTGTTGCGGCCAACTTTTCCTTTAAAATCAAACGTTGCTCAATTATAAAAGTAACAACCTGCGACAATAATGCTCGGGTTATTCACTAGTTTACAACATTAAGTACTGTAGAAAAGTGCTATTTATTTAGGTGTCTATACACTATTACAATACAAATTAATAAGAATAGATTAGGAAAAATTGCCAAAAATAATACAATTTTTGGCCTATTCTTTTTATTAATACAACTTTTTGATTATATTTTAATAAAACAACCTTTAGTGAATGTTTTTTTTTTTAAACAAGACAAAATTGGATATTTGTTTTAAAAAAAAAAGATGGGAGAAGGGGAGGGGATATTTTCCCTTTTGGCCTTTTCCCATCTCCACCACCAAAAACTCATCCCCTCGACCCCTCCTCTTTCCTAATCTCAAATTCCACCGAATATCTGATTTTGTCATATTTAAAGTTAACAACCCCAAAGATTGTATTATTAAAAAATAATCAATATTATTGAATGCATCGAAAATGACGTGGGTTCATGTTAACAGTACATGACAACTTTTTTTTTAAAAGAATAGATGATATTTTATTTAGATCAACGACTTTTGATCCAATTACTGAATTACATGCTTTAATGCAGTTCGTTGAACCTTAACATGTATTGTTATTGATTACTTGGGTAATAGATTTGTATTGTCAAAGGAAAGAAAACAACGATGGCTCTTATTAGTTATCACCCTCTACCTCAATTGAGCACTCTCAGTGTTAAAGCTCCCAAGGCTTGCATGAACCTTACTTTCAACTATTCCTCATCTAAGTGAGTTTTCTCTCCTCCACAAAATAGTTCCTCTATTATATATCTTTTAAATGCAACACATTGGCCATGTTTGGTAAATGGCTTTTTGGTGGTTTTTTAGTTAGCTTTTGGCTTTTGGCTTTTTTATGAGGTCAAATAGCCAAAAAATGTGTTTGGTAATTGGCTTTTTAGCCAGTGAAAAAGCTGGCTTTTAAGCCAAAATGAAAAACTGCTTTGAGTAGCTTTTTTGCTGGTTTTTGGCTTGTTGGCCCACAAATTATCTAATAAACAGCCAACTACCAACAATTAATTTACCAAACACTTTTATAAACAGCCAGCTTTAATAGCCAATTTCAAAAGTCATTATAAACAGCCAAACATACCAGCTGGTCAAACAAGCCAAGTAAACAAGCCAACAGCTAACCGCCAACAGCCACTTGCCAAACAAGGCCATTAACTTTTACGCTATTTGTATAAAAGCATGTATTCATTTTTGGGGTGCTCAAATTAAAAGCCTATATATATTTAAATGTTGTATGTTTAATAAGAGCTCGTCTTGTCTTTGATTAGCCACATCGTGTGGCCGCTTGTAAAGAACAAAATAACTTTATAATACCGACTAAGTATTCCTTGTAATATTAATTGAGTAACTCCTCAACACCGATTGAGTATCCCATTACCACTGACTAAGTAACCCTAATAACACTAATCTAGTAACCCCCCTGTAACACCGATCAAGTAACCCTTATAACACTAATGAAGTAACCCCATGGTGGCTGGCACACGCATATAAGAATTTGTGTAAATTATTACCTTCTTTTCTATGAATTGACATCCTTTTTTTTTTTGTACTCTGTATTAATAATGACTTTTGACATCAATTTCCAACACTTTCACTCTCCCCCTCTTCGGTAATTCCCAACCATTTTTTCTTTCTCTATGTACTCCCTCTGCCCCAGAATACATGACACAGTCAAGATTGCACACATATGCCGCACTAGTTTGACTATATTTTATATAATTAAATATTAATAAAAAAATTGTTTTTAAAATTATACTCCGTATTATGAAACTTTGTATTAATATTTATCTAACGATATGATATATTTTATGATAAAATATGTTTTTATAATGTTAGTAAAAAATTATGGTCAAAACTGATACTCCCTCCGTCCCAAAATATAGTTCCTGTTTGTGTTTTTTATTCACAATATTTAAAAAATACGAGGAGAAAGTAGATAAATTACATAAATAAAAGTAAAAAGTACAATTATATACAAAAGTTATAGAGAGAAATGGAGAAAAGTACAAGACAAGTGTAAAATTCAAGAGTAATGTAGGAAATAGAATGAATAAAAAGTTAAAAAAAAAAAAAAAAAAAAAAAAAAAAAAAAAAAAAAGTGAAGCTTATATATAATTGTCTTCACATATAATTCAAATAGAAACATGAACAATATTTAGGCACTCCAAAATAGGAAAACAAGAACTATATTTTGGGACGGAGAGAGTACATAAATAGAAAAAAAAAAAAAAGTTAAATATATCATGTATTCTGGGACAAAGGGAGTATCTCTCTTACCCACATGCACATATGTGCACTCATCATTAGTTATTAGTTTATGTGAAAAAATCCAAATAAGCTTTTAATTAAAGGACGGAAAGAGTATTGTAGAGTAATTTTTTATGGTACACAAATCCTGCTAAGTTGCCCTTTGCCCCTCTTATCTTAGGAACCACTGTACCAAATGCCAAGCTTACAAGCTTCCCCTTTCACCACTCAACCCCCTAATTAAATTCGAACCCTTATCTCATAGGTGGAACACAGAAAGTATATAAACCACATTTCAAGTCTAACATGCTCTAGAAGTTTCTAACTGATTTAGGTTAAGACTAAAATTTTTGGACCCTCATATAATCATTAATTGGATCGTAGGTGAGGTGGACCTAGGTCAACAACAGTTTTTGGTTGAGTTAGGTTTTTTAACAGTTGAACCCAAAAGGAGTTTATGTGCATCTATCATGGGCAATAACTAACCTCCGATTGTGAACGTAAAATTACATTTAGTTGGCGTTCAAAAATCGATCTGAACCAAAGAAATGGGCTAGACCTTACCGGACCGGACATTGGTCTGGTTTTTGTTCCGATTCGGTCTTGTAGGGAAATTTAACTCGCGCCCTACATGTAGGTCACGTTTTTAAGTATGGCGGCGCTCCAAGGAAAAGAATCTAGAGAAAAAGAGTCGCCAACAAGTTTTAGGAACTTGTAAACCGTTCACGGGTGTGACGAAGGTTACACACCATTCATAATTACAGAGATTGCTAACTCCATAGTTGTCCGAAACCATGACTGGATGTTCGGGGATAATGGTAAGATAGGAGCCAAACTCACCCTAAATAAGCCTCTACTTAATTCTTTTGATATTCATACGCGCTTTTTGATCTACATACATACATCATATTAACCTGAAAACTGTTTAATCTACGTTGGTTGATTATTAATGCACAACCAGATCTAATATTGGTGCCTCACTTGAATTAAAATCAAATTAATAATTATCTTCTTAGGTGTAATTTCAAGTACAAACTCCCTTTAAACCTGCAAAAAGGGGCATGATTAAGCAATAACAATAAATCATGAATAATCAAGTAGTTAAATTACTTGCTTTGATGCCTTAACTTTCTTGCTATTAAAATAGTACACACGTTAGTAATTAAAATTATACACACGCTAGTAAACTTCAATAAAGTTAAATCAATAAAGTGGATATATAAATCAAATATGAATTGAAATATAGATTTGGGACCAAACCCTTAAAACTATCAACTTTTTCCGTCAAAGTCGAAGACGCTCGGAGTATTCGAACCTTGCAAAAGAGGTATTGTGAATAATTTAGGAGAATATCAAGGATGTGTTTAGGCTAAGGTATAGATATTTGATAAAGATGATGATTAGAGCTAGATGGTTGTAGCTAATTGTGGCTTATGATTGATGGTTCCAGCTGATTTGAAAATGGTTAAAATGACCTCTATTTTATAAGGAAAAGAGAGAGTCGAAACGATCAGAAAAGATCAGAATTTGGAATAAAATAGAACTCTTTTTGACACGCCGTGTTGGCTTCTGCCGAGCGCTGCGACATTACTGACATGGCGCACCAGTGTTGCGCGATGATTTTAAAAGATGTTCAAGTTGTGGAGTTTGATTTTTAATGGAATTATAACTGTGAAATATATCCAAACGTATTTGAATTTGAACGGGATAAGGACTAACATATGAGAAGTTTTATTCAATCTCCAACTCTTTGATATTTAAGGTTGTTTACGTCAGCTTATTTTCAGTTAAGTTCATTTCAGCTCAGCTCCAATCAGTTCAGTTCAGTTCAGCTCCTAATTTCCTTCTCTCGTAAAATATTCATTTCATCTCAATTCAGTTCAATTAGTTTAGCTCAATTCAGTAAATGTGAACAAACCCTTATCTTTTCGGAAAGGATAGATTAGAGCCTTTTAGAGGCTTCTAGAAGTTTCTAGCTGATTTAGTATTAAGACTAAAATTTTTGGACCCTCATATAATCATTAATTGGAGGAAATTTTGTTTTTTACCACCTCACAAAAACACGAAAATCTGTTTTACCACCTACCAAAAAAAAAGTATTACTTTACCACCTCATAAAAAACACGAATATAGGTTTTACCACCACTTAACGGTTTCCATCCAAAAATTCCGTTAAGTGTGGCCCACAGTAACACGTGTCAGCATTTTATTTGTTAAAAAATAAGAGAAATTAAAAAAAAAAACTAAAACTACTCCAGCCACCACCACAGCGCCACCCCCGCGCCACCGCCGCCGCCTTCCCCCAACTCACCACAGCACTCCCCGAAATCACCACCCGCGTCACACCACCATTCCCAACCCACCTGAACCCTCCCCGTCCCTTTCCCGCAACCGAAACACCCCCAAAAACCACCAAACCCAAAACCCTCCTTCCCTAATACGGTCACGATTTCAACCAATTTTGGGGCTGAGTGGCCTTAACCGACCGATTTCGACCATTTGTGGCCGGAATCGTGGCTGTTTTGGGGGGATTCGTGGTCATTGAAGGTTGTGGGTCGGTGGTTTTTGGGTCGATTGCGGTTGCAGGAGAGGGAAGGGGGCGTGGAGCCGCACCGCCGGTAGTAGGTTCGGGGGGGCAGTCGTGGGTTGGGTGGTGGCGCGGTGGTGGCGCTGTGGTGGTGGCTGGGTAGTTTTAGGTTTTTTTTTTTATTTTTTTTTCTTTTTTTGGCCAATAATAACACGACACGTGGTTTTATGGGCCCACTTCACGGATTCCTAAACGGAATCAGTTAAGTGGTGGTAAAACCTATTTTCCTGTTTTTTATGAGGTGGTAAAGTAATACTTTTTTTTTTGGGAGGTGGTAAAAGAGATTTTCGTGTTTTTGTGAGGTGGTAAAAAACAAAATTGCCTTAATTGGATTTTAGGTGAGGTGGACCTAGGTCCTAGGCTTGGTTTAATTTGGGCTTGGTTTAGTATTTTGACCATAACTTATTCATTTTAAGGCGGATTTGTGCTTATAATATATCGTTGGAAATTAAAAGTTGTTTTCAACCCTGTTTAACTAAACAATGATTGGACTGAGATTATGGACCAAAATAATCTGATTTGGGTGTTTTTATAAATTGGGCACGAAATGTATGATTTTGAGTTTAAGAGTACGAAATTAATGATTTTAGATTAAAACATTTTTGGGAAAGGTTAGGAACATGGTCAAGACTTAAGAAAACTTCATGAGACTCTTCGACTTTTTACCGAACTCGTTAAGCAAAGATGTGAAAGGTACTCATCACTAGGTTTGGTTTGTGGGGAGACACAATAAGGTGTCTACAGGTCCATCCAAGACCCTTCAAAAACCAGTCTTGGATCGGACTTATTTTTTACTTAAAATTATGGATAAAATCTTAAATAATGATTAAGATTTTCCTTAATATGCTTAGAAAAATTTAATTGTATGAGCTTTTTTGTACTATTCACGCATAAAAAGACGTTATAATAATGTTTTTCCTTGTTTTTTTTTTTTTTTTGAGATTTTCATAAAAATATTTTAAAAATTAGATTAAAAAAATATTTAAAAAAAAAAAAAAAACGGTCCAAAGAGGTTTAGTCAGGGTTTTGGACCGATTTTTTGGATCCGATCCGATTTTGATTCCAATTTAATCGGTCCGGTCTTCGATTTTTAAAATTTTAATTTTCAGTCTGGCCCAAGTCGTCCGGTCTTTGTCATATATATGCTGTGTGTTATATTGTTACATCTTTATGTTATAGAGGAGGTGAAACTCTGAAGAAACCTTGCAGCCCTAGACACGAAATGGGTAGTAACCAAGTACTTGTAACCAATTCCATGGCACCCGAAAAGATTGAGATTTTCAAGTCCATGGAAAGCTGGGCAGAAGATAACATTTTGGTGTATCTGAAGCCAGTAGATAAATGCTGGCAGCCCCAAGATTTTCTTCCTGAACCAACTTCAGACGGCTTTTACGATCAAATCAAAGAGCTGCAGGAGAGAGCCAAGGAGGTTCCAGATGATTACTTTGTTGTTTTGGTAGGACATATGATTGCTGAAGAAGCACTTCCTACTTACCAAACTATGCTTAATACTTTTGATGGAGTAAGAGATGAAACCGGGGCTAGTCCGACTTCATGGGCTACTTGGACTAGAGCTTGGACTGCTGAAGAAAATAGACATGGTGATCTTCTTAACAGGTATCTCTATCTCTCTGGCCGCGTTGATATGAGAGCTATCGAGAAAACAATTCAGTACTTGATTGGCTCGGGAATGGTAAGAGAGTTCAATCTTATAGCTTAGCTTGTTAAACATTAATGTTTGATTGACTTCATGTTTTCATGTATTCTGTACATTTTATTGCAGGACCCAAGAACTGAAAACAATCCGTATTTAGGTTACGTATACACGTCATTTCAAGAAAGGGCAACATTCATTTCACACGGCAATGCTGCAAGACTAGCCAAACAACATGGTGATCTGAAGCTAGCACAAATTTGTGGCCTTATTGCTGCAGATGAAAAACGCCACGAAAATGCTTACAGCAAAATAGTGCAGAAACTGTTTGAAATAGAGCCTGATACAACCATCCTCGCTTTTTCTGATATGATGAGGAAGAAGATCTCTATGCCGGCCCATCTCATGTATGATGGTCGCGATTACAATTTGTTTGATCATTTTGCTGCTGTTGCTGCTCGGCTTGGAGTTTACTCTGCCAGAGATTATGCTGATGTTATGGAACATTTGGTGAACTATTGGGAAGTTGAGAAGCTCACCAGCCTTTCGCCTGAAGGGCGAAAAGCTCAGGAATTTGTTTGTGGTTTACCCCAAAGATTTAGAATCATTGCAGAGAGGTCTCAAGGAAGAGCAAAACAAGCGCCCTTCATGCCTTTTAGTTGGGTTTATGATAGAGAAGTCAGGCTTTGAGCTCTTAATTCTTTTGTTGCTGAACTTGTTATGGTCTTGTAATTAATTTGCGCGAACTTGCTTCTTTATCAACAGATTAAAATTCTGATAGATAAATAGAGCAATTTAAGCAGAAGATAGATAAAAATTAGTACATCTCAAACAATAGTTCTGTAATTAAAAATGTGCAACTCGCTGTTCAAGAATCCGGCCCTTTTACAATGAAAAGTAATTACAAGCAATCACATCCTACATTGTCGTCTTTATTAGTATACATCAGCAATTGTAAACTCGGTTAAAATATAAACACACACAACACAAGTACATAGGAGGGAAATGAAACATAAAACCCAAGGGCAAGAGAGAAGAACTTTAAATAAAAAGAGCGAGGAATAAGGGGGAAAAAATATAACAAATAATCATGCAAATCGGTTAAATGGCTTTCTTCCTACAGCTGCAGGCATAGAAACTGTAGAATCAACACTCAAGTTTCCTACAGATTGCACTGACTGGTTCTTCCCTAGCACGCTTGGTGAACTCGGTTCCTTGCCTTTGTTCCACTTGAAAGATCCGCCACCTTGAGTAAAAGGAAATGACATCCGCCTTTTAGGCTCATCAGTGGTGATACTGCTTGGGCTATCTGGGACAGGACTACCTTTTAATTTTGCATTAGCAGAAGCCGTTGGGGCCATGTAACGTGGAACAGAGAAAGGCGGACAGCTCATGAGGCTGTCATCATCTTTAAATGCACGTCCGTTGAAGGGTGAAGTTGCTGCACTCCCTCTAGAAAATTTCTGCTGGAATCTACTGGGAGGGGTTTTTGCCTGTCGTGATCTTGGGGCTACAGATGACCTGGTGGATCTTGGAGTTGAAGCATCCATATTATCAAACCCAAGACCACTATGTTGTCCAAGGTTGCTCGACTGGGGAACGGGGCTAGCCTTGAAGTCCCTAGGTGATCTAGAAGGAGTTGCGAAAAAGTTCTTAATTGCTGGGCTTCGTGAAGGATTTGTCGGTGTCAATGGCGGTACTTGGCGTTGTTCCAACCAGTTCCACCAGTAGGGATACCCTCCTGATCGGAAATCGGCTAAAGCTCCATTTCCCGTTCTTGGAGTTGATTTCAACAACTAACAGAGATACGAAAAAAAGAATAGTCAAGATTATGGAAGAATCATATGCTTTACTAATGTTAGACTGCGGCTATTGCACAAGGTCTCTGACCATTGTTCTTATACCAGCAAACAAAAGTGGTGAATTGAAAATGATGTTTAACTTTTTTCCCTCAACATTCTAGAATTAAAATTATATGAAGTAAATGTAATCTGATGACCTAATAAAACATATTCATAGTTTTTTAACAGAAATGGTACATCTAATACCTACTTTTGGATGGACTAACCTACCTAACTATATGTAAATGTAAAGATAACCCATCACCCTTTGCTTCTCATTTCAGGAAAATCATAATATGCATAGTTATTATTTTGACAAGACGAATAAGACGCTGGAACTGCACAAAGTACAGTTAAATTAAGGGGCCCTCAGAGATTAAAAAGTGGAGTCATTATAAACAAAACAGAAATCCTGTCCCAAAATAATCATCTTGCTATCTAATTCAGTAGGTCTCCATTCATCTGCCTTTCCTGCTCACTTTTCGGCATTGCTTGCTATGAAGGCTTGCTCTTGAAAAGGGTGTTACTAGCTAGGGAGATTAATATAGGACACAATGATTTTTTATGCATACAAGCCTCTTGGAGTTTTGGCACATGCTGAGAATAGGCCAGGATAAGTGGATAACACATATTATGATATAAGCGGAAGAGAGATAGTACCTGATGGGAGTATGCATACGCCATTGCTCTTTCTCTCTTAACAATTGCATCATACTTCCTCTTCATTCTTGCTTCTAGCTCTTCTTTAGTCAGTGTGCTGTCATCCCATTGATCCTGGTTCTCAGACTGCAAACCCCCCCCCCCCCCAAAAAAAAAAAAAAAAAAAAAAATCAAATAAATAAAGAAATTTAGTCTTGAGGTCACGGTTTGACATATCAACAAGTTCAAAGAAATACTTCATAGATACAAAGATTAGACTTACCATCCATTTGCCAAAGCTGCTTTCGTAGTCTTGATCATTTTTATTCATCTGGCGTTGTAACACCTGATTCTCTAACATCTGGATCCTACGTGACTGTATCTGATTTTGCACACGGACCAACATCTGCATGCATTTCAACGCATTTGATGTTTGCCTCTTCACATTATGCCCTTTCATTACTCCTTGCAGCCTCACCAGACCTCTTATAGCCCTAAAGCTTCTCCTAGCCTGGAACACAACAGAGATATTCGGTCAATGTGACATAGAAAATCAGACTAGAGATTATAATTTCACCAAGAACATGCTTCAGGATATACAGAACAATTACTCCATTACTTCCAGTTACTACATTATTTCCAGTTACTACATAGGCAAGATTAATTGCTTTCAGTTGAAAATGTACTCCAAGAGTTTCCATTTGCTTACATATTGACAAATTGAAAAACATGATAAGCTAAACCCATAATTGTATAAGTCTCCTCTGTCTTCCTGCTAATGGTAAGTCATTTTACAACAGTTGCTTTAGGCTCTTTCAGCATCAGGCTCTTCGTGTTAGGGATCTGATTTTAAATGTTTCCAGGTAGAAAATGCTACCTAATTGAAAATTTTGAAAAGCCTGACACAGGTTACACCTAAAAAGATCATCTAGAGAACCAAAGACTCAAAATCAACAGTCCACTCACACGAGCAAAACTTAAGAAGCTAATAGACAATTAGCATATTTTGAAGAGATTGCATATTTAAACAGGAAACATCAGCCTTTTATCCCTGATCAATGCAATAAACAGACCAATGATCATGTGGTTCAACGACCTGATCTATGACACAGTTTGCATTAACTACTTGTAGATAAGTGTATGCCATTATATTTAGAATAAGTAAACTAAAACCAAACAAATTCAGAATAGTTCAGAACTTCAGATAACTTACAATATAGCCTCTATAAGCTGCTTGAATCTTAGTAGCACAAGCATGTTGTTCCCTTAACGTCGGCTCTGGCCTCCGCTGGTGAACAAACCTTGAGGAGGGAATCCTAGCAGGAGTCACAGCATTTACAGGGGTTGTAGCTTGTGGAGAATCTACCCTTGGAGCTGGAGGGTAGGTCTCTCTAGGGGGAGTTGGCTGAGTGGCATCACTTGAAGGTGGACTCCGTTGAACAGCTTCCCTTGGAGGGGAGGCAGCCCTTGGTGGAGTAGGTGCTCTTGGAGGAGTAGCAGTTCTAATTGGTGGGATAGAAGTTATAACAGGTGGAATAGCAGTTCTCACGGGCGGAGGAGTTACACGAGGAGGTTCTGCCTTTGGTGGCTCAGGTGGAGTTGGAGGCTCATAATTTGTAACTTGGTGCTCCCTTTCAATCTCCCCAAGTATTTTCTCAATGCTGCTTGGCTCTCTGACAAAAGGCAAGAACGAATGGCCGTCTCCATGCTTTAGCTTTCCAGCCCCTTTCTTTTTCTTCTCTTTCGACGTTTTCTTCTCTGTTCCCTATCGGTTTCACATAACCCAATAACAAGTATCAAGTCAGATACATAAGTTTAATGTAATTATTACACACATAATTTGAACTCCATGCTGATCTCCTAATTACAGCTGATATATGAGTAAATACGACATCCCTTTTTTCCGAAGTAAAATGCAGAGGTTGTCTGATTTAAAAGTTTTGAATCTGAAAAAAAAAAACAATGAATAACGAAATCTGAAAGAAGTTCACTTACATCAGCTACCTTCTCCTTAGAGCTATGTGCAAAGACCCTCTTAATTGCTGAAAACCAGCTTCCTTTCTTCCCCATTTTGCTAACATTACTATATTTTACTTGCTGCAGAACATAAGGAATTGAATGTCAGTCAGATATCAGAACCATTAATGTATGATATATATAGACATAAAATCACATAGATCTTCTAATCTTTACTCCAAAGTTTCAAGATGCAAAGATCAGTAGACATTAATATAACAGTTAAAAGCCCTTATTTACCTAAATAAAGAATCATACATCTACATTACTCAGACTCTTTACATTTACTTAATCATAAACTTACACTTAGATCATACACCTATAATACTGAAAACCCGATTTTGAAACAGCAATCAGAAACCTCAAAATAGGCCAAAATCATAGAATACTTTATAGAAACTATGAACCACAACCCTCTTGGATCCACCCCCTATCTCTTACTGGTCCACTCAAAACTCCAAAACAACATATTCACTTAAAAATCATGTATTCAACAATCAATTTCACAATCAATTCGTCAGAATTGTCTATAATCTCTACAACTTTTTCAGAATTACCTCCAATGTTCTACAAGCTCAGATTCTAGTAATAACAAATTATAACTAACGGAAGCCAAACATGAAAGTTTGAGCAATCTTACAAGAATCTCAGTCAAATATGAAATTGAATTACAAGTTTACAAGTAATAAGAAAGAACAGCCGCCAAAAAAGGAATAGAAAAACAAAAACAAAAATTCTATCTGAAATTAAGTGCCTAAGAAAAAACGAAATTATATTGTTTCTATCACTTAATTATTCCCTTGCCAAACACAAAATTCAAACACCCACATACAAAATCCCAAAACCCAATTAATATATTATAATTTCTACAGTATATACAAAATTAAAAAATAAATACTTCAGGTTTTATATAACTCTGACAGAAAATTCTGAAATTACATACCAATATTTATTTGCTGAGCTCTGGTTATGATCATCTGAAACAGAGAAAATGGCAGAAATTAAATCACTATTTAACAAAAAAATTGTGTATGAAGAAAAATATAAATTAATTAAAATTTCAGGCACTAAAAAAAAACAAAAAAGCTGCGATTATTCACCATTACTGATCCCCATGAAATTTCTCAGCTTTACTAAAAAAATGGGTAGTACAGAACTGAAAAATATTCAGCTTTTAAGTGAAATTAATCATAATTAATTAAAATTAATCAAACCCCACTAAATTTTTAAGCTTAAATAAGGATTATAATGAAACCCCATCACTGATCCCCAGTAAAGCTCTCACCTTTACCAATTGGGTTGTACATAAATGACATTAAAATCACCTAAAAACAAACAAAAGATCAGCTTTTTAAGTATAAACTAATCAAAATTAAACAAAACCCACAAAAATTAAAGCTTTAATTAAGATTATTTTGATACCTTTACTAAAATTTCTTCAAAAATTCAGAAAAACAAATGAAATTAGAAAGGTTGGTAACAAGAGAAAAGGGGTAGATGAGCTGTTTTTTGTCTCTCTTTTTCTTTCTTAGTCCACCTCAACTTTCCTGTACAGTTTATGCTTTTTTCTCATGAGAAAAAACTTTCAGAATTTTTGTTTTAACTTTTTTTTTTTTTACTTGTATTATTTTGCAACTTTCTCTCTCTAGAAACTTTGAATTGAATCCCCACTTCTTTGAAGAAGTGGAAAATGGAGTAATTAATTTAATTTGTTTGGGTTTTCCCAACTTTGTTTACTCTTTAGTTTAGGATTTATAATTTTAACTTTTGGGGGTTGAAAGATGATTTTGAGGATGGGAAGTTTGGCAACTGAGTCACTCAATGTGCGCAACTTCAACAAACTTTACTTGAATGCGAAGACTATTTGAGACAACAAAACTCTTGTTTATTGAATGGGTTAGGTTTTCATTATTTTTTATCATTATTATGTTACTCACCATTTGGTGTGTCAATTCACCTTCTTAGCTAACAAATAACGGGGGGCACTATTGGATAATCCAAAATATCTATAAGATGATGGCATCGTCAAAGCTTTGTTAGTGTTTTAAGGTTGGTTAGGCACGATCCACCACTCTCACTAGTCATAGGTCGTGTCGTGTTACAAATTTATATGGGTGGTCTAGGCATGATTAACTTATTTGGGTTTTTATATTAAATGTTCATTTGAGTTGGATTGTGTTTTTCTCATAAGATCGTGAAAGCGTCTGATATATAATTACATAAACAACAGTGTCGTATGTTGTATTATTTTATGACATGTTCTTTATTTTATGTTGGTTATGCTATGCCTCAGGGTTCATTCTTTTATTTTCTCCAATAATAGATTATTAATGTACATGGAAATTGGAAATACTTCATGTGGTTATGACTTGTAATTGATTAAATAATCATTAAGTGTTTTAGAGAGATTTTGAAAATGATCAAAATTCAAAAGTGTATGAAAAAGTTTAATTAAAGTAATAAGTAGCTAATTTTACAAAAAAATACACATAGTAGAATTAATTAGAAGTACAATGTTTCCGTGAATTTTCAAAAAAAAAAAAAAAGTTTGTATTTTTCCATTCGATGTTGATTTAATAAACACTTCTCTGATCACATTCAAAAGTTTACACAACTCTCACCCAAAAATACATGTGAAGGTTTCTCACTATTCACTTGTCGAACCCCTTTTTTCTCCCCCTTTCCTCGATTCACATGTGCAATTGGCAGCACTCAATATATTGATATCGAGCATATGTGCTTGCATGATGTTCAGTGTGCACCGAACCTCTCAAACACTTAGCTTGCTAGCACTAACCTCTCAAAAAAAAAAAAAAAAAAAAAAAACATACACACAAGTGCATAGTTATAAAAGAACATGACATTAATAACATTATAGTAAAAAAAAACATGGACATGCTATTTTATTTTAAATTAAATAATATATCACAAAATATTTTATGTCATAAAAGCTAAATTTATACATGTAATTGTGTTCTATAGGTGCATAATGAGCATGGTGCAAATGCATATGTATCCTTTATTATTTAATTTGTGGTTGGCGCCCACACTATCCATTCGAGCTTCAAGGCTATGTGTCGCGATGATGGTTAATGTCTACATATGATGTGGTTGTGCTTTTCTTAAATGGCTTAACTTTATCAGTGATAGACTTAATTAATTTTAGTTGACTTATTTCACAACTGAAATTATTATTGTTAAAACTCAAGTTAAGTTTGACTTTTGTTAATCAAAAAAATATAGGAAGTAATTTTTATACTATATCTTTTTTGTAAAGGAGTTTAATAAAACACTAAACAAATTTATCTTATTTCATGTTTGGATTGGTTCCTAATTGATGTACACTGCCGTTAAATTTTTCCTTGTTTTTCTTATGTTTTGGATGAAGATTGAAGAGCTACCAGTCTTAATACAAAAGTCAAAAAGATTTCACAATTTATTAGGCTCTTCTTCCCTCCTTTACCCAGCCTTTACCCACCTATCATTCTATCATTATTCAACAAAACCTTTTGCATGCACCCGTTTTACAATAATTTTATTGTACATCGAACATTTTACGAAAAGTGACCTTTTTTTCTTATAAAAGTGACCCTTTTTTTTTTTACAAAAGTGACCCTTTTTTTTCACAAAAGCGACACTTTTTTTTTACAAAAGTGACCTTTTTTTTTTATAAAAGTGACCTATATTTTCACAAAAGTTACCCTTTTTTTAAACAAAAGTGACCTTTTTTTTCCACAAAAACAGAGTATCAAAATCAAAAAGTTATCCTTTTCTTCTACAATTAGCAAGTATTTTCCTCCATTTTCTCTCCTTTAATGGCGAAATCAATTATAGTCTGCCCTTACCACCTTCTTCCCAACAATACAATTCAATACAATTATCCTCCATCATAGGAGTATTCACTTTCCTCAAAATTCAACCATTTTTCTTCTACAATTAGCAACTACAGTACTTCTTCCTCTACTTTCCACCATTTTCTCTTTCCTTCAATCCTTCAATGGCGAAATCGATGAAGCATGAGAACAACAACAACCTCTTCGACCTCCTCAACGAAGAACTCCTCTTCATAATCCTCGATCATCTCTCCATTGACGACCACCTCGCTGTTAAATCATTTTCTCTCTCCTCAAAATCATTTTTCTCGGTGATGAAGTTGCCCAGCCCGATTTACACTAATTTAGTGTATACCGGGTGTTATTAAGAGTTTGTGAATATTCAATAATTATGTAGTAATATATAGGATAAATAAAAAAAATAATAAGTATCCAATAATAATGTGTTGCTTTTCCCTTTTTAAGCTTGTGTTAATCTTTCCCTTTCCTTAAAAAAAATTGGAAAAAAAAAAAGGAAAGCACACACATATTTAACTTTCTTTTTTGGTTTTGTATGCCAATGATATTTTTTTGGTGGCTAAATTAGGAATTTGTTTTGCCAACACATACCAAATTGCATGACATTTTCTATGATTTTTAGCTCATGAATTAATTTGCTGGTCCTTCTAATTATAGAAATATTCTATAACTTTTCACCATTAAAACTTTTTGTTTCTTTGCATAAAAGAGAGACAATGACTATTCAGTGTTTTATTAGAATTGTATAATTATTTTTAGGCAAAAACAAAAAAAATTGGATGTCTTAAAAAAGAGTTATGAGAGGGTTTCAAATTACATACTTCAAATAAAAAGGGCAGAAAGATAAATTTCCACCTCTGGCCTATTGACTTATGTACTACTCGTATGTATATACAACAATATCGATTTTTGTCGGATTGTCACTAGATTAAGACCCCGTTTATTTCACCTTATTTTTACTGATCTGAATTATTTTTACTGAAACAAAATTATATTTGTTGAACTTAATGTATTACTACTGAACTTAAATTAATTTTACTAAATTGTAACTATTTTTGTTGAACTGAAATTATCTTTACTGATTTTATATTATAATTCTTCTTTAAGAAAACTGAATTTTACTGAACTGAACTTATTTTTACTGAACTGAAATTATTTTTACTGAACATAACTTATTTTTACTATACTGAACTTATTTTTACTGAACAGAAAAGTGAACAGGAGGAAGTTCTTTTAAGCTGAATTGAACTGAACTAAACATTAAAAATAAAAAAAATAAAAAAAAAATTGTCCAAATTGGATTAACATAAACTAAGTTAAACTAAAGTAAAACTGAAAATAATATTGTTTCAAAAAAAAAAAAAAAAAGAACTTAACATAATACTTTCGCTGGTTTCCTCTGTTTTTTAGTTGACACCTTATTATTATCACGCATGTTTTTAACGCTTAATAATTTTAACTATGAACATTGTAAAATTATAAAAAGTTGATATTAATAAAATATACATGTAGACTATTCAAACAAGATCCCACATAATTATATTTTATTGTATATATGAATCACAAAAGCGAGTTAAAGAATAGTGTGTGAATAGTGTAAAAATCAAACGGTGTTAGAAAAACAGAGGAAGTATAAACTTCTTCTTTTGGCAAAAAACGATTATAGCCACCCTACGTCAGTACATTTACAATAATGTCATACATACGCACCCCGAATTGTTGCTTGCGTTTGATGGATTTTGTTGGTGGGAGTAGCAATCAACAATTCAACACCCACTAATTATTACGTAATACACATCTAATGTTGTATTTAGTAGTGTACGGACTATGGAGCGTAAGAAAAGACAAATTTGTGAGCAATGAGACAATTTGTATTATTCCATCCACTTTATACTATCCTTACTCCATAGTCCACACGAGTACTAAATAGGCAAAAGCTAACAAAAAACCTCATATTGTTAGATAAAATAAGTAAAAATAGAAATATTAAAATTAAAATAAACATCAAATACATCGATCGACACGTAATATGGTTATCAGGTTATGTATTTTAAATTAAATACTTCGTATTTTACATGTGTCTAACAAGAAATCAAGAACACGGTCCAATAAATACGTGTCAAACACGTACGGGGTACACATCACCCATGTGAAGTGTCATGCAACCAAGATGGAGAACTTGAACACTTCGGGGGTTGTTTAAATAAAACAAGTGGGTAAATCTTGCATATGATAACAAAATCATACAAAAGTAATTACAATATTTTATAGAGAACTATAAATAGCCATATAAACAACCTTTCTCTTTTTTAACCATTCAAAAAAATTGGATGGCATTTCTAACTTGATCTTAGTGTTAACCAACGTTGCTCTTCGAATCATTTGATTGATGAATAAAAATAGGTTTTTTATTTGATAAAATTTTATTTTGGCAGTCTTGCCTCACCATATTAAATAAATACATGTTTCAAAAAAAATATACTTGTATTAAATAAATACATAATAGCTTGCTAAATAATTATTATGTTTCAGGTTACTGTTGGGATTAGAGATACGAGGCACACTTATTCATCTTTTCTTCACACTTATCTGAAATACTATTATTATTTTAAATTTTTTTGAGGGAAATTATTTTAGATTAATTTATATGGATATAAAATTACATAAATAGTGCATATTTTCAATTTTGTGATTAATCCAGCACAATGTTTAGTCAATTATCTGCTTATAATATAATTCCAGTCATGGATAATATAATTTGCTTTTAAAATTTATTCAAAAAATTATATTAAGGTTTTTTCATAAATTGACGAAAAATGAACTTTTAGAAACTAACCTGTCACGTAGAATTGCAATTGTGGGCTGCAATTGAAATTGGTAATTATATACAACCGACATATTTAGGGCCTGTTTATAATTACTGAACTGAGCTGAACTGAAATGAACTGAACTGAACTGATTAGAGCTGAACTGAACTGAACTGATTGGAGCTGAGT